TTTTGAAGTAAAATGGTGGTTCTCTCACAAAATAGCTTTCAGTGGAAAAGGCTGATTACTTACAAAATGGTGGCAATAATGAACGGGACCAATCAGAAAATGCCTATTTCCTAAAAATTAAAGAGCTGAGATTGAACTACAGCACCAGCCACCAAGGTGCTGGGTATTAACTCAGTTTAACTCCTCTTGGGCTTTTTTTATATTAAACAATATAAAAAGTAGACAATACGCTGGCTGCAGGGCATTCTCTTGAAAGCCCATCAGGCTTTCTAGTCCTCTCATTTTAATCCCCCCCCCCAATTTGTTGTGATAGGTGGGTGTGACTGACAATAACAGTGACTGACAATAGTAAGTCACACACCTTTTAACATGTTCTGGTCCCTTCAAAGCCCCTCCCTGTATTACAATGGGAATGTCTGAGAGAAAGAATGCATTAATGTGGGAATGCAGCTACCTCATATTTTCTTATTTTATTCAAAACTGTCAAAGGCCAACATATTAGACCAGAGGTGTCTGTGCTGTGGGGTGTTTGTGTAAAGAACGGTCAAAATGGTGGCCGTAACCATAAGATCAAAGTTTTGTCCACATTTTACTTATGTTGCAGGGCTTTGGTTACATAGTTGATTTTTTTTACATAGCTCCATAGACACTCTTGTCTTGGACTATTGACTACTGCAATGTGCTCTCTATGGGGCTGCTCTTGAAGACCACTTGGAAGCTTTAACTGGTCCAGAATGTGGTGGCATGAGCAATGATAGGCGTGTTTTGTTCAGGCAGTCTCCAAGAATTGGACTCAATTGAATGGAAGAAGCCAAAAAGCTTGTAGAGGTAGCAATATCTTATCTTTTTTTTTTTTTAAAAAAAGAACTTACATCACAAAGCACTTTTTTATTTATTTGTTAAATTTATTTGACACCTATATCACCTTGGGGCTACTCTAGACTGCTTACAATAGGGGTCTTCAAACTTGGCCCTTTTATGACTTGTGGACTTCAACTCCCAGAATTCCTCAGCCAGAAGTAAGATAATAGAAAGATAAAATAAATAATGACAAAGGAACACAAGGAGAATAAATACACCAATATGTTGTATCTTTTCCCCTGGATTAAAAGGCATAATGATCTTGGACTCAGCATTGATGCAGGAGGAATCATTTCTTTGGGCCTCCTCCATCTTGTACATTTCTGGATTGTAATATCTCCGTCCAACAGATGGGGAAGAATTAGATAGGGAGGGGGTAACCTTTTTTGCTTCTTCAGGGGAACACATTTTCAACCAAACATTACCAGCTTTCTCCAATCCTGCCTTTTGCATCTGAGGCTGATTATCTAAAAAGCTTCTGAATACCTTTAGCACAAAACTTTGTTTAGGAGAAATGTCAAGATAGCTTCATTTCCCCCACTAGTTGAGCTTTTAAAGTAATTCCTGCTGACTAATAAAAGGGGGTTACTATAAACTGTGGGGCATCAGCTCTTTGCCAGAGGTTTCATGTATCTTTCATACATTAAGGAACTTCAGATAATGCTTCAGAAGTTACTTATTCAAGGCCAGCTGCTGGGAACAATAATTGAAGCTCTCTTGGCCGGCTGAACAATGCAAGAGAAAAGGGGAGCTTAAAAAAAAAGAAATAGCAATACTACAAGTTGAATCTTGATGCATCTGGATACTTTATTCAGTAGGTGTTCACTAAGAGCAAATCTCTTCAAATGTAGAAAACCAATATTTTATAGAGAGCATATAAGATCTTTAGGCCATTCTTTCTTTGCAGTTGAAAGGTAAAAAAAAATCAAGCCCTTTGAAAGAAAGAAACCTCAGATAAGACATTCCTCTTCAGAAACAAGCCAAACTTAGTCTGCCATTAAAAAAAATAGTAAAGGCCTCTGTATAGGTTTTCCTAAGTTTCTGCATAAATTGCCGTGAGCACAGCAATAACAATAGCACTTGACTTATATACTGTTCCATAGTGCTTTACAGCACTCTCTGAGAAGTTTACAGAGTCAGCATATTGCCCCCCAACAATCTGGGTCCTCATTTAACTGACCTTGGAAGGATGGATGGCTGAGTCAACCTTGAGCCCATCAGGATCGAACTACTCACTGTGGGCAGAGTTTGCCTGCAATTCCTGCATTCTAACCACATTTCCAGGACTTCAATTGATACCTTCCTAGTGCAAATTGCTGCTGCTGATAATGATGGTTCATTAAATTTATACGCCACCTAATTTCCAGCAACTCTTGGGTATTTATAAATTATTTTTAAAAAAGAAAGACATTAAAAATGACAAGAAATGGAGAGAAGTGATGACAGGATAACAAAGCAGGTATCAGGTATGAAAGATCAGAGTCACATATTAAGTTCCAATTAAACTGATTTATTTGCTCATTCCTATACACAAAAATTTACTTAACTAACAGCACCATTTTAGTGCTAGTTAAGGTCAATGGAATTCAAGATTGGTTGGACTTGGACTGCTTGTGGCAACACAGAGATTCTAGATTGATTCTTCTTTTGACTTCACCCCCAGGCTCTGATACTTTTTCTCCTACAGCAGGTGGAAGCAAAAGGTCCTATCCCAATAGATCAGCGGCTCCCAACCTTTTCTATATCCCACACCCATAGAATGCTACTGATATATTCTCACACCCCTTACAAAAGTTTGAAATGTCGGCAACGAATTATACATATATACTATAATTTTGAAAATCCAAGTTTTCGCACTCCCTGGAATATCATTTTGCACCCCTAGGGGGTGCGAGCACCCCAAGTTGGGAACCCCTGCAATAGATGGCATTCTTTAATCAAAGGAATCCAGATTGTGCCAACCCCATAGGTTCAAATCAGCTGGGCAGATACTATGAAAGGATAGCAGTCTCCAATTAGCCAAACCTTGTGCCGTATAATCTGTTCATTTGTTACCTACCTCATTACCTTTCCTGTCTTCCTCCAAACTGTAACTGTGTTTGTCAGTGTTTTCTCTACAAGAGGTGTCTCCAAGCAAACTGTGATGTCAAAATGTGACCCGTATGTGTTGAGGTTGTGATACGAATGCCACGATTATGTTCCTGTGTCTTGACATCTGATGAGAGTCTGCAAGTTGTAACATGATGGTATCATGCACACTTCAGTGTTTATCCACCCCTATGCCACGGAATCCATAGGTAGTCTTCAGCGTACAACATACAATGTACAACCTACAACCATTCATTTGAAGTTACAACAGCACTCAAAAAAGTGACTAACAATCGCACCTCACACTTAATAACTGTTGCAACATTCCCGCAGCCATGTGAACCAAGTTCAGGTGCTTCGCAAATGGAATGTACTTGCACAACAGTTGCAGTGTCCCAGGGCCCGTGTGATCCCCATTTGGGATCTTCTCAGTTTGCTTCCAACAAGCAAAAAGACAAGGGGGAAAGTCAGATTAACTTAATGACCATGTGATTCACTGTTGAGATTCGCTTAACAAAAAAGATTGTAAAATCAGGTGTGACTCAATCATCGCCTTGCTTAGGAACAGAAATCGTTAGAGGAGCTCTTTTAGGACTTAATTGGTGCAAGAAATGAGAAAAATTGCAGATGGCCTATTTACACATATCTTGCTATTAAGCAAGTAGAAATACAGTTTACTGCATTTGTTCCATGTAGAGAGCAAGGAAGATGACCTTGATGGAGATAAGCAACAACTGTTGCCTAGGCAAAAAAGGCTGTAGCAATTTTTAAGTCCACAAGAAGTTTACACAGATAGTCCTCGCTTGACAGTGGTATTTGGAACCAGAAATTCCATTGCTAAATGCAGTGGTCTGAAATGTAACATCATCTGACCATGCTGCATTGCGATGGCAATCCTGGTTTGCCATTAAGTGAATCACATGCGGTTGTTGAGCAAGGACCTCAAGTGACTATGACTTGTGACTTTCTGTTGACTTCCTCGTTGACTTTCCCTGTGGGAAGCCGGCAGGGTAAGTTGCAACCATGTGATTGTGAGGGCGCTGGTCTTCAAGGACTGGTCCATGAACACTGGTCAAGGCACTGTTGTAGCCTTGAACAGTCACCGAACACTGAAATTGTTTTGCAAAGACTACAGGCAGTCCTCGACTTACAACAGTGCATTTAGTAACCATTTTAAGTTACAACAGCACTGAACAAAGTGACTTAAGACCATTTTTCACACTTAGAACTATTGCAATTTTCCCAAGTCATGTGATCAAAATTCAGACAGTTGGCAACAGATTCATATTTAGGACAGTTGCAGCATCCTGAGGCCATGTGATCGCCTTTTGTGGCTTTCTGACAAGCAAAGTCAGTGGGAAGGCAGATTCACTTCACAATTATGGCAAGAAGGTTCGTAAAGTGGGGCAAAATTCACTTAACGACTGTCCCACTTAGCAACATAAATTTTGGGCTCAATTGTGGTCGTATGTTGAGGACTAACTGTGCCAACTATTGGAAGCAGCTCAGACAGATTCCTGCATGGTTTACTGGACTATTAAAAGGAGGATGAAGTCCAGCCCTATCACAGCCATGGTGGCGCAATGGTTAGAATCAGTGTTGCACGCTAATTCTGCTGACTGCCAGCAGTTTGATCCTGACTGGCTCAAGGTTGACTCAGCCTTCCATCCTTTCAAGGTTGATAAAATGATTGTTGGGAAGGAAGGAAGTGAGGGAGGCAGGAGGGAAGGAAGGAAGGAGGGAGGGAGGGAAGGAGGGAGGGAGGGAAGGAGGGAGGGAGGGAAGGAATACCAATTTAGTTAGGCATTTGCTCACCCCAATTGTCCCAATAGGGAATGACTCGGCCATAGGGATGTTCACCTCACACTGTAGACAGTATATCGACACTTGGTGTGGGAGCAACAGGCCCTGGCAGAGTGGATGGGGCGATTGTGGAAATTAGATCGAACGAAGAGAATATTACAACCAGGGGAGGTGGTGTGTTTGCGGGCCTCAGTTAGATTAGACTGGGAACAGCCGGGCCCTTACCTCATCATTGAATCCGATCCTAGAAAGCAGAATACTGGAGTGGAAGTAATTCCAGAGGTGGTCTCTACAAAGGCTATACGGCAGGCCAGAGGACAGATTTCAGTTGGAGTCCGGAATATTACAAACCTCCCTGTGAGACTGAGAGATCACATGTTGTTGGGACAGGTGAGTCCAATTGTGCGTCTTGATACTAGGGAAAAGACTGAGGGTGAGGTTTTAGTAGATCAGTTCTATTCTAAGAACATGCAGCTTCCCCAAGAGTGGCGAGAGAGGGTTAGAGACCAGCTTTGGAGGTGGCAACATATGTTCTCAAAAGATGAGTTTGATGTGGGCTGTGCTAGGAGCGCTCAATATGTAATCCATTTGCAGAAAGATAAGCCTTTTTGAGAGAGATCCCGGCGGATCCCCTTGAGTGATTTAGATGATCTTAGAGAGTTGAAGAGGACTGGGATCATCAGATAATCTCGGAAGTTGCCCTATCCGGATTTAGGTTTAGCCTGAGGTACCACCGGGGATGAGGAACAGGGATGCAGATGCCCTGTTGGGGAGACCTCACGATCCGGGGGCACATGTTGGAGAATGGGTCCGATTGACCTCTGATGATATCCAAGCGCTGTATCAGGGGGTTGAACACCGAGCTCAAGGAGCAATTGGGACGGAAGTCATAGGGGTCACTACTGCAAATGTTCCTAAATTGTATTATAACCCCATCCAAGTTAGGGGGGAGGGTATGTATGTTCTGACTAAGAAAGATTTGAAAAGAGACCAGGCAGAGATCAACCACCATCATCCACATGAGTCACCATCAAGAGAGAGCGATCATCACCGCCCCATGTGCGTGGCTGCAGATCATGACTGAATACCACCGTGTTACGTGCCCTGTTAGGCAGAGGCGCCAATGTGAGAGACCTCTTTGGGCTGGTGGTCACTTGGAGGGGAGGTCAGGAGGGCCTGGACTTAAGCGGTCCCTACGGGGGTGGCGCTACACACATAACGTGCTACACCTAATCAATAAACTTCAGTCAATACTTCAATCAAAATAGAGCTGGAAGGGACCTTGGAGGTCTTCTACATCTAGTCCAACCCGCTGCTCGGGCAGGAAACCCTATATCACTTCAGACAAATGGCTGTCTAGTCTCTTCTTAAAAACCTCCAGTGATGAAGCACCCACAATTTCTGAAGGCAAGCAGTTCCACTGGTTAATTGTTCTCATTGTTAGGAAGTTTCTCCTTAATTCAAGGTTAGTTCTCTTCTTGATTATTTTCCATCCATTGTTTCTTGTCCTGCCATCAGGTGCTTTGGAAAATAAGTTGACCCCATCCTCTTCATGGCAACCTCTCAAATATTAATGTGATGGTGTGGTTCACAGAATATGTTATGGCAATATGCAGAATGACAAATTTCTCACCCCATTTTATCTGGATCATTGGTATTATGGAAATCTTTGGTATTATGGCAACTCAGCCACTGTGTGCTCAATGCAGATGGCAGTGCAGTAAGTGATCCAAAGGATTTTTCTTATGTGCTATGAAGGCAGCATTCAAAAATTGCCTATAGTTGATAGTATCTGCTTCCTTCCCCTTATGAGCTCTTTAATTCTTCTTGGTGGGTCTTTTCTCACAGCCCTGCCTGGAAAACATGATGATACGACGAGGCTGAAAGCTGGGCTGGGAAAATCATCCTTTGCATCAGATCGGACACAACAGTGACGTGGCCACCAGCCTGCGGTGTGTCCCCTGGCCATGGCTAAGAGTGCAGAGGTAAAACTGGCCATCTTTGGCCGAGCTGGGGTAGGAAAGTCAGGTAAGTTTCTTTTTTTCTTCCTTGGTTTGTCACCTGCAAACCACTCGAGCTTATTCTAAAAAAATGTGTTGTGATTTAAATTGTCCATATTCGTTGAGCCTACTGAATCTCTTATTTGCCACTGAATTACCTGCTAAATGTCAACTAGGCATTGTGAATAACCCTTACAAGTTGATAGCATTTCAGCCTAGTTAAAAATGGCCACTTTAGTGTAATGGTTGAAGCACCAAACTAGAAACTATAAGCTGAATGACCTTGGGCCAGTTCCTGTCTCTCTGCCTTAGCAAGAAAAAAGCCATGGCCAGCCACTTCTGAAATCCTATCAAGAAAAGGGCATAGGGGAGGAGGCATAGGGGAGGAGGAGGAGGAAGGATGGATCACATTACTTTCTAGTACTTGTAGAGTTTTAGAAAAAGACCTGATTTTGTAGCAGTTTGCTGTATTCAGAGCATTGTCACTTTTAGGGAGAATCTGGTGTGCAGAAAAAGGCACTCGTCTCATGGGCTTACTTCCATATAAAATCACCTATAATTTTGCTAATTTAGGCCCTGTGGTAGTAGAAATTCTACAAGCCAAAAAATATTGAGGGAGAGTTGAAAGGCAAAAGATTACGGTAACTGTGAAATAAAAAAGGAAATAGAGACATCTTACAGAGCTGCCTCTGAAAAATGCATTTCTGCGTTACCCCCCTCAGAATATGCCCCATTACCACCAGTTTAAGAGCCACAGAGTGTGTGGGTAAAGTTACCCAGTGAGCTTACATAAATGAGCCTGGATTTTAACCTGACTCTCCTGAGTCTTAATACCTCGCTGTAAGTATTCAGCCATATTGGCTGAAGTGATTTTCCAGCTCTTGTGCTTCAATGCTATTCTTCATCTTCTCTTACGTTTTCATCTTTTCCTACTGACTCTCTCAGTGGAATTTATTTTTCTTAAGGAGGCCAGATGCTTGCTCCAAGAGCAAATATATCTAAATTACTCAGTCAGCACTAGGTAATGTAATGTTATGTGGAAATGGCCTTGGGAGACGGGAGGAAGAGCCACAGACAAGGAATGAGGGGGCAAGGCAAATATCTCAGGAGGAACCTTCCTTGGTTTCTTGGACTTGTGTTTGTGTCAGCGGGGGTGGGGGGATTGTATTTTTAGACTTGTAAGATTTTGTTAATGTAACCTTAATGTAAGATAGATAGTACTCCTGGGTGTTCTTCTTGTCTGGACTACCTCACAAGGCTGACAGGTATCTCCCTAAAGTAGCTTGGATCCAAGGAGATAGATCATGGCTGATCTACTCTTTCTCTGATCTATACGGTTGGGAAGACTATACCTTTTGCAAAACTGACAGAAAGAAAGCATATCCCTTACAATTACTTCTAGAATTGTAGTTTGTGCTGAATACATTATGCTGCCATCTTGGCCAGACAGTTGGAAGTCCACGCCAAGTAATATTAACTGAAAAGTTTGCCAAGACCTGAAGGAGTCTGTGGTAAAACACACAACGAAGGCGACAATATATGGGTCCCAGAAGGGGAGTTTTATTATGAGATTTGCTCTTCTTTGGTTTCTTGTTTTTCCACCCAGCAGGTAAATGTGATTAAACTGTGGGTGTGCATCCATTCTGGATATTATCCAGATACTGAGCCAAGTTGGAATATATCAAAAGTCTGGGTGTTCTTGAAAATGAGTTTTTCCTAAAGTGAAACAGCTGGTCTCAAAGCCTCAGAACTACTTTGGAGTTCAGCAGGGTATCCAGACTATTAGAGATACCTTCAACTAGACAGTGTTGAAAGTATAAGAAAAGAAACTCTGCACCATTGAAAGATGATGGGGAATAAGTACATTGGTGTTTCTCAGCCTTACCAACTTTAAGATGTGAGGACCTAAACTCTGCAAATAATGGCAAGGGAATTCTGGGAGATGAAGTCTAGCTATCTTAATAGTGGGCAGGGTTGAGAAATATTGAAGTATCACTGTGATACTTGGTGGGTCGTTTTGGAAGACTGCAACCTTTTCGTTCCTCTCTGCAAATCAATTTGGAAGGAAGTCATCTCCATGAAGGTAAAAGGAGGAAATTAATTCTGCCTCCTTGAGAAAATGGCTGGAGGGAGGAAGAATTCTTGGTTTCATCAAAGGCTCCAGAAAACACGTTGTTTGGAGAATCAGTTTGGTGGGGGAGGGGAATCAAAATGGGGTGAGAGGAAAAAGGAAGATGAAGTAAAATGCAGCTTTCGGTCAAACTATTTTCATCTTTTTTTTAAAATTTAGCACTATTTTGTAGCCCCATGAAATATTACAATCAAACAAATTGACTCTTATGGGTGGTAAATGCCTTCCTCAATCTCTTATTTTTTACCAGAGTCTAGGACGGGTAGGCAACTTTGGGTCTTTTATGACTCGTGGACTTCAACTCCCAGAATTCCTGAGCCAGCATGGCTCAGCTTGGAAACCTCTCCCTTCCCCTCAGCATGGCTGGCTCAGGAATTCTGGGAGTTGAAGTCCACGAGTCATAAAAGACCCAAGGTTGCCTACCGCTGGTCTAGGAGTTTGAGGTTTCTGTGCAGTAACTTAGCTGTTCCTAACACCACACTCTTTTGGACAGAGAGTTCTGATGTCATTCCTGGAGTCTTTTGGAGCCATTCTCCCAGTTTAGGAGTCATAGCTTCAGGCATCCTTTTGGCCTTTCCTTTCCACATCCTCTCTAGTTCTTCCTTCAGGCCCTGGTACTCTCCAGTTTCTCATACTCCTTCTTCCTGATGTTGGTGTCCCTTGGCACCGCTATATCTGTCACTGCTGCTGTCTTCTGTCATCAAAGTATAAAACACAAGTGAAAATAAAGATAGTGAGAGATTAAGGAGTGGGGGGAGAGGAAGAGAGGAGTATGGGATAAAGGGAAAAAAAGAAAGAAAAAAAAAGCATTAACTCCCAACAATTTTCAGCGCACAAAAATTATGCACTGTGCAACTTCCAACATTTTACTTTTTTATATTTAGTATATACTAGCTATTTCCATAACAACAAACTTACCTAATCAGCGAATCCCAAAGTCCAAATGAATGCAGTTCTTGGGATGAAAAAGAATTGTTTTCTCTGTGTTATGTTATTCGTATTTAATCCTCCGCTTTCTTTTAAAAAACCAAGCAAACTCAATCCACTGTATGTCAAAGTGATGGTGTGCACAAAGTCCGGATTTCTCTTAAGTACTGTTCTCTTCAATTCTGCTTCCCCTCCCTTTGCCTTAAGGCTGTTCAAAACACATTTGAAGGTGGGTTGTGGTTTTAGGGTTGTAAGATTTGGGCGGGGGTCACAGTATAAGAAAATGAATGAAATCTGGATTGCTTTTCCAGAAGGCATTTTGTAAAACAAAGGAAGGGAACATTTAAATCAACAATTGACTTGAAATGGTACATACTGTACACATCAGGACCATTAGCGTATAATGCCTGTAGCTTAGTCCAATTTCCATAAGTGCTATTTTTTTTTCAGTTTGCTCTTCCTGGCTTTCATTATTAGGGGGATGGAGGCTAAAACATGCGATGAATGGTTGCAGGAACTGGGTATGTCTAGTTTAACAAAGAGAAGGACTAAGGGTGACATGATAGTCTTCCAATATTTGAGAAGCTGCCACAAAGAAGAGAGGGTCAACCTATTCTCCAAAGCACCTGAGTGCAAAATAAGAAGTAACAGATGGAAACTTAACAAAAAGATAACCTAGAATTAAGGAGTAATTTCCTGGCAGTGAGAACAATTAATAAGTGAAACAGCTTGCCTCCAGAAATTCTGGGTGCTCCATTACTGGAGGTTTTTAAGAAGAGGTTGGACAGTCAATTTTCTGGAATGGTATATTCATGCACTTCACAACCAACACACATGTACAACATTACAGGATCCCCCAATCACATGGTTGCCATTTGTGTGCTTTACAATTGGCCTGTGATGAGCAGAGTTAATGATGAACGCGGAAATAAAATCATAAATCACAACTGCATGTTTTTTTGGCTTAATGACCACAATTATTCACTTAATAACACAAGCAGAAGTGTGGTTGCAACTCTGTTGCAGTCATGTGGCTTTCCACTTAGTAACCTTAGCAATGCTTAGTGACAGAATTGCCAGTCCTAATTGTGGTCAGTAAGCAAGGACTACCAGTAAATAGTAAAATTTCCTGAAAAAGGCATTTCAATGAATTGAATGTCCATTAACTTGCCTTCTAAAAGCTGAAAATAATGCAGATGGTTGAATACTGTTCACCAAAAACACTGTGGAATGAGAGTTGTGTTCTGAAATAATATTTATTATTTTTTTGTATATACTTATTTAAGAATTGATTATAACACTTACATCTTGTGTAAGCCAATAATTATACTGTTGCTAGTAGTTCTGTCATTGGGAAGTAAATACAACCCATCTATTAATCATTTGCCATTAGTGTCAGGTACAAAGAGTCAAGACCATACATTCAGTCTAATTAAACTGATTTATTGCTCATGCCTACACACAAGAATCAGTTTATGTCAGCACTAGATTGGTGCTAGATAAGAGTTAATGGAATTCAAGAGAGGGTGAACTTAGGCTACTTCTGGGAACATAATGATTTCAGGCTGATTTCTCTCTTGACTCTGCCCCCTGTTTCTGCCTGTCCTTATCCTACTACTGTGGTGGTGAACCTATGGCAGGTGTGCCAGAGGCAGCACTCAGAGCCCTCTCTGTGGGCACTGTGCCGTCGCTCCAGCCCTGCCTCCCACTGCAGCCCCTTCCTCACCAGCAGCTCCTCAGAGGAGAGAGACCCCCAAGCATGGCCCGCACAGAGCAGCGCAGCCAAGGACATGGCAGTCAGGCAGCGGGGACAAGACTCCGCCCTTGCATTCTGTCGCGCACAGATGATGCTATAAAGTTTTATCATTTCAGATCTGATGTCAGCAAAAGTCCATTAAGGGTTACCAGAGATAACAATGTATCTATTTTAACCTTGATCAAATAAATCAACTTTATATTCCCTTTTTTTT